ATTACAAAGAGAATCAGAACTGAATTTGAGGGCTTTGGGAGAACCTCAGTCAGATCATCTTGGCCAGGAACATGGCTCACAAGCCCTACCAAAACTCAGCCATTTTCAGTTCTGTATCTTATTTTAGAGACTACATTTTTAAAGTAAGTACCATGACATCCTAAGGCATTTCCCTATTCTTACCCATAGACTATTCATTTTAGGAATCAAGTTTGTTGGTTTTAAATTATACTGTTACTTTTAAATTTAAATTTTATTTTTTTGAGACAGAATCTCATTCTGTTGCCCAGGTTGGAGTGCAGTGGCATGATCTTGGGTCACTGCAACCTTCGATTCCTGGGTTCAAATGATTCTCATGCCTCAGCTGCCTGAGGTGTGCGCCACCATGCCACCGCAGGCATGCACCACTGCACCCAGCTAATTTTTGTAATTTTAGTAGAAACTGGGTTTTGCCATATTGGCCAGGTTGGTTTCAAACTCCTAGCCTCAAGTGATCTGCCCGCCTCAGCCTCCCAAAATGCTGAGATTATAGATGTGAGCCACCATGACCCGCCCTAAATCATAATTTTAGAAGTGTGGCAATCTGTAACAATAAGAAAAAGATGATTTTCTTTTGACATGCAAGAGTACCTGGCACACCTTTCATTTTCTTGCTTAAATGGTAAGTACAACCCTGTTTTATAAGGGCTCTGTAAAAATAACTTTAGTGGTTTTCTCAACCTGAAGTAACTCTTTTCTTACATTCCTCATCTATATCTTTTTGGACTATGTTACAGAGTTGTCTTTTCTGTGCGTTCTCAGAGCAGGCTAAACTTTTAAAACTCCTTTTAGCACATTAATTCCAGTGAACATTGTATTCCGGTGAATACCCATAGAGGAGTGCCTGACATAGATAAAAGCTGGTAAAAGCTGGTTGCCAGAGTGTCAGTCCTAAAATGCTGTGTGTCTACCTTAATTGGATATAGACAGCAGTATCAACTCTACATACCTTGTTTATATATTCTGAAATAAAGGTTTCTGGGACAAGCACATAATTTTAAAACTTCAAAATAGAATAGTGTGATTTAACTCTGTATATTAGAATAACTTGCAGAAGTTTTTTCTGGTTTGTAGGATGTTACTCCCAACTCACTGAATCAGAACATTCTAGATTGTTACTAGAATCCAAAGATTGCTCCAAATTAATAACTTATACAGGCATTGATTGACTTATGACCTATGCAACTTACGACCATTCGACTTTACGACCACAATCGCTAGCCACGACTGCTCCGCATCTGGCAGCGCAAACGTTGCCCAGCTGGGTGTACGATAGTGCAGACCAGCTTCCGGCAGCACCACCATCTCCGCGTGCATATAGCCTACTCACCTTACGACCAAATCGTGTTACGACCGGTCTGTCGGAACCAATCGTGGTCGTAAGTCGAGCACTAGCTGTAACTCAATGCCCAATTTATCAATTGCAAAGCGTTATCCCATTGCTTGTTTTCGGTATTGGGAATACAGTTGAAGGTTTCTACAAGTGAAAAGATTCATGAGATAATCAGACTATATACAGCTAGAAATAAAACAATTTAAAGGGAAATAAAATCTTGAAACTCAAGTTTTATGTGTTAATTACATGAATATAGATTTCTCCTCCCCAATAGAAATCAAGTCCCATTGGCTGTATTAGGCAAAATACTATAACATTATTTTGAAATATTGAACACATTGAAGGCTTTTAAAACAAAAGGTGACTTTGGTGATAAGGATGTCAACAGAAATGGTAATGAATCAAACCTTGCGTTAAATTGGACCAGAAGTGCTCCATAAAAAGAAAATCTCTATAACATTAAAAAAAAGTCATAAGTAAATCTTCTTGCTTGGAAACTAATTTTCTGTAGACTGCTTTCTGCCTTCAGGTTTGTATAGTCTTTGAACTGCGGAGGCCTCTTCTGCATAATAATTATTTCACACAGCAGTAGCCAGTTTTCAGCACTGCAATATTTCAGTGTGAGGCACAGATGTTCCCTAGCTGCCTCTGTTGGTTGCAGGGAAGGGTGCTAGATATTTTACCATGGTATTTTCATGTTTGTGGGCTGGTTATCATAATTGATAGTCTTTTCTACTGGTGTATATGTTAATAGGTACATCTATTTAGCATCTGTTTTAGGTCCTGTAAATGAAGCTTTGTGGTTATGTTATCCCCACCCCATCCCTCATCTCTCTTGAGAGTGCTGAATGTTTTTCAGTGTTTTTCTTTTTGTGGATTGTTTTGTGTGGCTTAGTTTCTTATAAACATTTAGCAATTATTCAGTAAGTTCTTTCACTCTCATAATGCATGTTTTTGAATGTGTATTTGTTTTTTGTTGTTGTTTTTGAGATGGATTGTTGTTTTGGTCCCCACAGGCGCCCGCCACCATGCTGGCTAATTTTTGTATTTTTAGCAGAGATGGTTTTCACCAAGTTGGCCAAGCTGGTCTCGAACTCGTAATCTCAGGTGATCTGCCTGCCTCAGCCTCCCAAAGTGCTGGGAATGTAGGCATGAGCCACCGCACCTGACTGAATGTGTATTCTTTCGCTAATTTTCCTCTATCTTTGCTGTTTGGAAATGTTTGATATTTCATAGTGTTGTGGGTTTGAAATGGTATATCAGTAACTTGATTGCTGCTTTTAAGATTGTTCAATAGTTACACAAAAATGGTCAATAAATATTGTTGCCAGGTTTCATTGCAGAATCTTGAATTACTGATAAATGAAATGTAGGCTGGGCTATTTGAATTTTACATCTCTATTCTTTGTGGGGTTTCAGTGAAATAATAAAACTAAAATATTGCCATATCGAAGACTGTTCCTTCTCATTTCAGTTTGTATTCTTTGATGGCTCAGTTAGGAATGGTGGTCTGTGTTCTTCTATCTAAATATTAATTTATGCTTACAGGATAAATTAGACTTAGAAATGTAGTACAGTCTGAATGTGTGACTACTCTTCTGCTCTTTTTGTCTAGAGAAAAGCAATTTATTATAAAGCGTGCTTTTTTGCTTTCATAGTACTCACATTTTAAAATAGTCTGTTTTCTATTGCTGTGGTAGCACACTAAAGGGATGTTTGAAGACATAGTCTGCTTAGTAGGCCAAGGGAGAATGAATGCAGTTTCCAAAGTGTTCAAATATTAGATTTTTTTCATTCAGTCAACCATGGCAAATTATTTTTCACTTTTGTTTTGTTGACCATTTCATTCCTCATGTCTGCATTGTCTTTAGGGCATTATAGGCTCTTGATAAATACTTGCTGGGTAAAGTAAACATTTAATATTTAAGAGTCACAGTCATTTTGTTAGTAATTTACCCATTCAGAATATGTAATCAGCTTTAAGTTTTAAGAAAACCACAAGTGTTGGGCAGCCTAATTATGCATGCACATCAGAGACTTTTTTTTTTTTTTTTTAACGGAGTCTCTTGTTGCCCAGGCTGGAGTGGAGTGGCATGCTCTCAGCTCACTGCAACCTCTACCTCTTGGGTTCAAATAGTTCTGCTGTCTCAGCCTCCAAAGTAGCTGGGACTGCAGGTGCATGCCACCACACCCGGCTAATTTTTGTATTTTTAACTAGAGATGGTGTTTCACCATATTGGTCACATCAGATGATCCACCCAGCTTGGCCTCCCGAAGTGCTGGGATTACAGGCATGAGCCACTGTGCTCCGCCAAGAAACATCCTTGAGTGAATATATTAATAATAGCTAGTGTTCATACCAAATAATATCTTTTAGTTTTTCATTCCTTGTGACTTTGGGTAGCCAACATTAGTTGCTTCTTATTAATTGAGGGTTCTAGTTGACCCAAGTACATTTTGATTGATTCTTTGTTGAATACAGTACTTAGTGCTTGCTGATCATTATTTCTCTTGATAAAAGTTCTTTGAGGACTTACATCTAGAAGTTGTCATTATGAATATCAATTAGCAGTTTCTCCAGCAGTTATAAAACAATATGACTCTTTAATCTTTAAATTTTTGGATT